GGTATTTCATATTTGAACGGAAGACCCCACGCTCTTGCCGGGGCCTCTTCTAATAACCTGCTTGGGCACAGTCGAATATCCGGAGCCTCTTCACCTTGTGTTTTGGGTACTTTCTATCTGAATGGAGAGCCCTGCGCACTTATCGGGGACCCCATCTTCAGCCACACAGGATTGTTCGGGGCCTATTTATTGGGTCTTGATGTTTCAATTTAAGGCCCCCAAACCCCTGTCTAGGCCACCTGATAATTTGCTCGGGTACGCTCCATCTTTCGGGGGCCCTCTGCACTGGGTTTTGGCTATTTCTTATTTCAACAGAGTGTCCTATGCTCTCGTTGGTCCTCTTCTGATAAGCTGCTCGGGCACATTCCATCATTCTGCTGCTGCTAGGGCCGGTGGCAGATGCAGAGGGGTGGGGGGAGGCATGGAACCATCCCCCATGGACCATGTCGAGGGTACCTAGGGTCTCCGAAGGGGCCCATAACCGGCCGGACGGATGCAGTTTCCTTACAACAAAAACACAACAAAATTGGATGCATTTGGGCCTACAGACCACCGAGAACCATTGTTAGCAAAAGTAAAGAGTTCATAAGTAAACGAAGTTCATTCTTCGCTGATTGGGAAAGTGTTGCTTGGGGGTCATTTTGGGGCTCGTTGCGCTGTCTAGAGGCATAATGTTGTTGATTGCCTGGTCCTATATGTACACTTGGCGGGCCAGTCTGAACGCTAAGGAGCTTTCCACGTTGTCCTTGATCCCTTTGTATTTTCTCGTAGGGCTCATTGTGCTACTGGGACGCTATCCGCCTCCATGCCTGAGCACTGTTGATCGATCAGGTTTTCCTCCACGGGTTCTTCCCATTCGCCCGAAAGGCTCTATACAATTTTTCCGGGGGCCCATACGCCAGGGTGCGCTCAGTTGCTCAGGGGCCCTTCATATAAGTCTCGGGTTCTTTCCACTTGCTTGGAGGGCCTTGTGCTGTTGCTAGGGCTCTTATAAGATAAGTCACGGAGACACTCGATGCTCAGGGGCCCTCTACTTTGATCGAGAGCTCTTTCCCTTTGGTTTCATTAGCGGAGGACTCTTCGCTCCTATCAAGGCTCGTGTTGTTAACCTGCCCGTGCACTTTTGATCGCACAGGGGTATTAATTCATGGTCTTGGATAAGGCTCCTTTGCTCTGAGCGTCCTGTGCTCCGGCCGAGGATTTATATGTCAGCCTGTCGGGGCACTCCCGGTCGTTTAGGGGCCCACCACGTTGGTCCTGGCTTCTCTTCGCTTGCTCTGAGGGCCCTATTCTTGTTGACTGGAGCCAATTCGTTGGCCTCCCGCGGCACCCACGATGGCTCAGGTTCAGTCCCTCCGTCCCTATTAGCCTTGGTGCCTTCGCCTTAGAGCAGCATTCAAATGTGTGCCGATGAATTTTTACGCGCGATCTCCGAACGTAACTTTACATGTCGCCGACATCGTATGTATCATTTGCATTGGCTATTGAGTGTGTGACACTTATTGCACCAGTGCATCATGTTCTCAACATAGTCTGAATGCTTTGTTAGGTTGTACTCCTCGATAACAAAGGAAAAATTATGCACTGATCATCAGCCATCACCTGACTGCATCGCCCAGCCGGCTGGCCGTAAATACATAAGCTAGTAATCAAATCCATGCTTGGTTTTGATGGTTGTTAGCAGCCAACTCAAGTCTATGTCGCCTGTTGTTTCGAAATACTTGGCCTCAAAATCACAGCATTTAAAATGATCTGTAGAAAATGAGTGAGCTCTACGTGTATGCATGCGTAGCACACCTATGCTATATAGGGCTGTGCACAGTAAGGCAGGTTTCCATAATTATAAAATAAATGAAAAAGTAAAAGTAAACATAAATGTATATACCTATGTATATACCCATATATACCTATCTGTGCCGATATATATATATATATATATATATATATATATATATATATATATATTGCATACGACTTGTCTTAAAATGTAATGACCGAAATGCAACAATATTTTTTGTGAGCGGGCCCCAAACTCGAGAGGGCCCCACAATGTCCCGTGCCCCCCCCCCCCCCTAACGAAATCCTGGACCCGCCCCTGATCTGATGATCACGGCTGCGGTAATTACCGCCGCTGACAACCCGCGGCCACGAAAGATCCCATGGTTCTAAGCCGTCACATGTCGTACCTGTTATCACGTGACGCCCCTGTAGCCCAAGCCTTCTTTTCCGAGTATGACGGCATTGAAAGGCGCATGGTTCTTGAGAAAGTCTCATAATACAGCCGTCAAAAAAAAACACGTTACCCATGGAGGGGGAGTCAGCAGGGGGCAGGGGGGGAGGGGACGGAAGCGTAACAAGCGAGGTTGAGTGAGGTTCTGAATAGCATAACATTACGTCTGCCGTTTGATCAGAGAAGTGACTAAGCCTAAGCAATCCTTGGGTGGGGGACTGGGACGTCACTGCAGAGTTAGATGCCGGTGACTATAGCGATGGCTGGAGCCGGCACTCAGAAACAAACTGGTACTCAGCAGGTGACAAACTGATTATTGAGGCGCCAAACCATTGAACCAATGGGGTATGGGTCCCCGCAGCCACGCCCCCCCCCCCTCCCGCCCTCCCTCTTTTCCGCTGTTCGTATCAACGGTTGGAGAACACGCCACCTTCCATGTTGTCAGCGTCCGTGAAAAAAAAAAAACAGCCAGGGGCCACGGAAAGTGGTCGGACTCGGAATCCCACAGACATTCACCGTCACTCACATAACCAACGCGATGCACACGCAGATTATGCGATCGTCACTTCTCATACCGACGTATTTCGGCACCCTTTCTTACAATACTTCAAGGGAAGGGTTCACATTTGTATGACGTTTTGAACTGAAATAGCCACCTTGAAGACATTTTGATGCAGTTCACGGATATGCCTTTTCTAATACCAAAAACGCTCTGGTTCCCGAGTTACACGCCCCCAAGTTACGAAAAGGCTTATTTAGATCCTATTTCAAAATCGCCTTCTGATTAATAACGCCATAGACAGGTCATTAAATCCCCGTGACATTACAGGCTGTTTTTTGTTTATGGCCAAAACAGCACGGCCGCTGATATATTCGCAAAGGCAATGGTGCTGCACATGTGTTACAGATGAGTGGCTGTTGGTAAAGGTTTTACTGCTGAATGCGTGTCGCGAACTTAAACGTGAGCAATTTCGGGTTGTGCGGCACTCGTCGACGGGGCTCCTAGGCAGTGCCCTATTCGCATCGGTGCGAGATTCCCAACAGAAAGTGTTGTGTGTGTGTGTGTGCGGTGATCGCAGGACAAACGAGAATCATTTGACTGTGTTCGCATAAGTACCTCGCTCCCATTCTATTAAAAACACTTCGCGCCGAATATGTCTGGCGTATCACCGACATCGCAGCAATAAGTTCAGGATGGGCAGGTGGAACCTGTCGCTTGAATTCGGGCCACTTAAGTCAAAGCAGACAGCATTTAAGGGCCATCCAATCCTATCCCATCCTATCCCACCAGATGGCGGAAGTCTCGCCATTGTTTAGAAGCACCGACAAAGACCTGATTTCCCGTGACATCCAGAAACGTTTAAGCAAGACTGTGACACTTGGAATGCAAATAGTCTATCTCACTTCAAAGCCCCATACAAGTGTGAAACACTCCCTTTAAAAATGACACCATGCCCGAGCGTGTGAGTACAGGCAAACATCTTAAACAAGCGCTCGCATCCCGAAGGTTTTCCCGGACTTTCTTTTCCGAACGGCGCGGCGCAACGCACCAAATTTTGATGACTGTAGACAATTGAAAAGCAAGTCGTTTTGTGTCAAAAATTAAGTGTACCTTTTAGGGTCGCTGGCCTACAGTAGGTCAAGGTCAGGCCATGCATTCAGCGAAGACAATTTTTAGAGAGTCTGGTGATGATGATGATAATGATGATGATGTATAACCGTTACCACGCGTTGATGGCTCGCACCAAACCAGACCATACATGAGCTGATCCAGCTCCATAAACACCACATTTGTGTCATCATCACCTTGGAAAGGTCAAACAAGTTCACTGCGCCAGCGTCTTTTTTCTTGCAACAGACCGGCGGGTGCATAGTGGTTGCATGAGAAGGTTTCGGGGCAATTCGGACGCCAATCTGGATTTTAATCTTGTTCAATCACGCTTGACCCAAAGTTCATGGCACAGGAACCTCAAATTTTGACATCAGTGACTTCAGGTACAGGCCAACACACTTTGTGAATCTGGTCTCTCTAGCTCTCTCAGTTTCTGGGACGTAAAGGAGTCAAATAAACCCCCAAGCGAAGGGTATTCAACCGGCTGGCGGGGCGCGTGTAAGCTCACGAATAAAGTAATGCAATAACATCACTAGAAAGTGCCAAAACACTAGCACATTCTACATTTGGATCAGCGAACGCTTCCAGCGCGTGCCACCATCTCTCGATGAGCTCGAAGTACTACAATGAAGTGACTAATTTGACAGGGTAGTTTAACACGGCCAGTTGGCAATACCCCGACGTAATACAAAGGTTAAATGACGCAAGCAAGCTCATAAGGAACGACATATTGAGGAGCCTATTCACTGAAAAGGGAAGCATTGTTCTCCACTGAAAAGTATATCTGCAGCTATAAGCTGGCTTATTTCATCACATCTGATGCTTGCTTCGAGATCTTCAGATGTTAAACGATCCTATCACTTAACGAAAGCCAAGTATGTCAAAATGTCCGTCTCACTCTCGCTTTCTCTCTCTCCCTCTCTCTCTCTCTCTCTCTCTCTCTCTCTCTCTCTCTCTCTCTCTTCTCTCTCTCTCTCTCTCTCTCTCTCTCTCTCTCTCTCTCTCTCTCTCTCTCTCTCTCTCTCTCTCTCTCTAAAAATGACAGTTTTAAAACAATAGGGGTCATAGTTTCCGAGATGAAAGGCATCTGGGTACTTGGCTGTGAAATAGTGTTGTAAGAGAGCGCGAATTTAACGCGATTGTGGCGCAATTTCCAGCATTCGAGTCTGCATCTGCGCACAACAGTATTTGAATAAGTCGGGTGAGGGATGGCTTTGTTGCGGGAATATTAGCATAGCGACGAAGTTAAGACGGAGAAGGGCAGGCTGACAGTACTGAAACACCGCCGGTAAGGCTAAAAGAGGCATTCTTTGCGCGTATGCCGGTGGCTGGCTGCTGGTCTGATATGTCTGAGTGTGGGGCAATTGTATGTGTTTGAAAAGGTCGATATCTTTAATATCCGAAGTTTAAAATCGTTCGCAAATACTTCCGGTGGAAAAAGTTAAGAACTCAACTGAAGTCACATTTTGTACTTCATAGATAATTTAATAGTAATTTGCATGATTTTTACAATGGGAAATGGTACTTCAATGCTTAGTTGTTTTTTTGTCTGACCTGATTTAAAATCATATAGGCGTGAGGTGTAAGTGGGTCATGCTATACATTGGGAACTAATGTTAAAAATGAGCATTCTACATCAATCATCATTTTAAGGGCAGAACACGTGATACAAAATAATCAGTTACATCTATACTCTTACCTTTGAACTTAATTGTGATGAACATCCAAGCGCTGTAAACTGCAAACACACGGAACCACAACCTCGGCACCAATGCTACATCATTGGTGTGTGGTCACAACGTCACTGCACATCAAGAACCATGCAAATGTATGAGGCCAAGGTAACAAGAATGCAATGAAATATTTTCTTATGTATCCAAGCAGTTGAGTGATAATTCTGGCAGATCAACCGGGGTTTGTTTTCTCAAGATGGAGTTTTCTCTGTACTGTTTGTAGATTGGTCAAAATGGTGGGCAAATATGGCATCTAAATATGGTTGGATTATGACATGGAATATGATCTTGGATGTCAATAGGAGATGGGTTGAAAGGGGATAGGGTGGGGAGGTTAGGTTAGGCTAGGCTAGGCTAGGCTAGGCTAGGCTAGGCTAGGCTAGGCTAGGCTAGGCTAGGCTAGGCTAGGCTAGGCTAGGCTAGGCTAGGCTAGGCTAGGCTAGGCTAGGCTAGGCTAGGCTAGGCTAGGCTAGGCCAGGCCAGGCCAGGCCAGGCCAGGCCAGGTCAGGTCAGGTTAGGTCACCTGGGCCCCTGCTCTTGAAATCCGGTAATACTAAGTCCCTAAACAATCCCTTGATCAGGCAGCTGACTCCAATGGTTACTACCTTCGTGCTGACAAAATTAATTGTGATCCAGTGTTGCTGTGGTTGATCTAGCCTGCCATAAGGTACTTTGTTGTCTCAGATAAAATGTATCTCAAATTCATGCTTCATGTAGCATTCACTATATGGTCATCTGGCAGATCAGCAAGCATCATTGTAGGACTATTTGACAATGCTCATGTTCATTCCAGGTGATTTTCTCACCACAAAGTAAGCAACCAACTTGATGCCATTGCACGAATAGTATGATGGCTGAATTGAAAATCAGGTTAAGAACATAACATACAATGCACAGCAAAGTTATGAGCCTGAGTACATCTACATCAATACTTTTTATTTCATCCTTCTTTCTGTCCATCTCTGTGTGTTACTGCTGTTGTGCAGTACAAAAGCCAATACCAGCAGTTGCATGGCTCAGAGTGATCTACACTCAAATTGTAGCATGTATGCCATATGTGTTGAGTGTGCCCTCCACCATATGGGAGTTAATGACAGTACACTCTCCCATGCCTTGGAAGGCAACCAAAGCTGACAGCTTTCAGTGGAAAACTGAGTTACCAATGCATCTATCAAAGACAAACCCAGTTGATTTTATGGCAGTTTTTCATGCACTTTAATTAATTACCTGTGAGGCACCATGCATTATGTGCTGATCTTGTTTGCAAAAATTGTGTACTGGTGGTGCAGCTATCTAGGATATTCCACTGTCTTTGTGCTATGTGATAGCCCACTTATTCCTACTTTTTTGCCAACAGGATTGTTTTCTGCTCCAATCCTTTGATACTCCTGCCCAATCAACCTGCTTTATGGCTAAGGAAATATTCTGGTCCAGAATGTGTATGCATATATATATATATATATATATATATATATATATATATATATGTATATATAACCACCACTGGAGTCAATCCCTAACATACTGGCAGATTGAACATTTTTGTGTTTTGACTGCATAAAATGGCGTCAAAACAGAAATATACCCCAGTCACATTTAAGGTGTGGTAACCTCTGCACACATGTCTAAAGGGCAGCACTTAACTTGCAGGGTCTGCACAATGTCAGAAGCTGGAAACATGACCCTGCAAACCCTGCAGCAGTACAAAGAGCTCGCTGCAGACAAGGACAAGGCATCACTTCTGGCCAAGGACAGCACAGTCGTGCAGTTCCTGGCCTACGTGCTGGAGGACCGCGACGACCAGATCGTTGGGGTGGCGCTGGAGACGCTGCTACTGCTGTGCGAGGCCGAGTCGTCGCGGCGCCAGCTGCAGCAGACGTACGGTTTAGTGCAGGCGCTCGAGTGTCTGCGCATGAGGGATTGCCCGGCGGCCGTGCTCTCGCAGACCGAGGCGGCACTGGCGCACCTGCGGCGGCCGGAGCCGGGCCAGCAGGACAGGCAGGCCGCCCGACACCGGCCGCGGCCGCCCTCGCGCCGCAGCAAGGTCGTGACCCTGCACGTGACCGGCCTGGTGACGCCCGAGGACCGCGACGCCCTGGAAGCGGCGCTGGTGCGCGTGCGCGGCCTCGTGTCGATCGTGTACGACATGGGCCGCGGCCGCTGCACGTGTCGCGTGCGCGAGCACGTGTCGGTGGCGGCGCTGGGCGGCGCCGTGGACAACACGGAAAACATGGCCGCGTACCACGTGGTGCGTCGGATCACGGCCGATGGTGAGGAGGAGCAGCTGGTGGCCGTGTCGGAGCGCGCGCGTGCCAGTGAGCAGGCGCGGCCAGAGCCGCCGCCTGAGTACCTGCCCGAGGACGACCCCGACGTGACGCCTGGCGATGGTGCCGTCGCCACCGGAGACTTCTTCAAGTCGGCCACCGGCTGGCTGTCGTCGGCCAGCTCTTACCTCAGCTCGGCCTTCTACTGGTGACGAGCTGGAGTAGGGGCACTCATCTGGTGACGAGCTAGTACTTGGGCCTCGCTACGGGTGACAGGGTGTGGGCGCGCTTCTGTTGGGCTAGTGTCCAACGCGCTCTCGGCATTTGTCTGGTGACGACCTGGTGCCAGTGCTCTCTCCTCGCCTGGTGACGAGTGCCCTGTCGCCAGTGCGCTGTCGTCGCGCTCTGACTTGGCAGTGCCGATCTGATGGGCGCCTGGGAGCGGCGCGCAGAGGGGATGTTAGAGAGCCGGGCTCTCCGCCGATGCGTGGCGAGCTCCCGGGGGGACCAGCAGTGTGATGAACTCTTGCCGGACTATGTGTGCGTGTGCGTGTGCGTGTACGAATTCCAATCATGTCGGCGGGACATTGCAATGGTAAATATATGCGGGATGATGGTGTGTTAGTTGTACCGAGCCGTTACGTCAGTTTCATCCGTCTAGGCGATGACGCGGTCCTCTCAGTATTGCGACGGATCTGAAGTAATCCGGAACCCATCATGCGACTCAAGTGGAGATGGGCTTCTCCAACAGTCGTCCAAAACCCCTCACTGCGCCGATTGACGACCTGCACGCTGCGGGCTCAGCGGGCGCATCGTAAGCTCTGTTCCACGTTGTTTTCGGGGCAAGTGCAAGTGGCACCAGTCTTGGCAGTAGTGCAGATGTCTAGCCTATGGGGCGTCTAAGCACCTCTGCAGCTTGTAATCGCGCCGAAGCGCCATTTACCTAACTGTTCTTCCTCTGTCTACCTTCCTATGACGGTATTTATTGTTGGGGTGTAGATGTGTTTGAAAGACACGCTTGATTGTCGGACGTAAAATAAAAAGGCCATCAAAAGTTGCCTTTAAATCAATCATTGGTGGTGGATGCGCATGATGCAGTATTGTACACGTGTTCATTCAGGAAATATGTCTGTGTCGTTCATGGTACCAGATAAACATGGAAATCAAAGCTGTATTACCAGCAGAAAAGTCGAACAAGTTATAGCAGTCGCATCACCGTGCATCCCTCCTGGCATGCCGGACGCGATAGCTGGTCACTTCAGGGCCCTGGGGCCTTCTTTCTCGCCAGACTTCTTCTGCGTTTGGACAGTCTTTTCCCCGATACGTTCTTCATACTCACCGCATGGGTCTTCATTTGAGGGTCTGAATGGACTGGCCTCTCTGGCGACCTGCACTGGGCTGGCTCTGACGGGCGCCTGGGCACCGCGGCCGCCGCTTCGCCGCGAACGCCGTTGGACTTGGGCGCCCGCTTCTTCTTGCCCGTGATCGAGCTTGCCTTGTTTTTCGGTCCACCTGCCTCGTCGGCGGTCCCGTTCGAACCCCGGCGGCTGTCCTCCCCGGTCACCGGTGACTCCCTCGTAGACTTGGACCGCTTTCGCTTCTTCGGCGGCGGGGGCGCGCCCTCACCGTCAGCCGATCCCACAGTCTTGGCGGTCTTCCCGCCAGCACGTTTTCCGGTTGTGGTCTCCGCTGTCGCCCGAGCCGTCTCCGCGTCGCATGGTTCCCGCTTCCTGGTCTTGACCTTGTGCTTGCCCGGCCGAGCCTCGTTTTCGGCAGCCCTGACGAACGTCGCCACGAAGAAGCCGTTGCAGAGGTCGTGCTCGGCGCTGGCACGCAGACAGTGCTGGCCGTCGGAGAGCGAGGGCCGGCCGCGGCCGGGCCAGGAGGCCGGCGCCGTGGCCGCCAGCCGCCAGCAGGGCTGAGCCGCCAGCGTGGCCGCCACCACCTGCACAGGCGGGGTCGTGGCGGGTCAGACGAGGTCACGGGCTACGGTGAGGAGGTCGTGACCAGGTTCGCAAAAGGTTACGATGTAAAGAACATGAGCCACAGCTGGGGTCGGGCGTCACCGTGACCAGTGCGGAGGCAACGATTTGGGCTAGACAAGGCCACGACCCAATGTAGTAGAGGTCACGATTATGCCCCGGTTAGCAATTAAGTCTGATGAGTGGACGAGGTCAGGACAAAGACCAGCAGACATCGACATGACCGGCGGTGTCGTAAGCGAGTCACGGCTTGAGCGTCTCTTGCTACCAGGGTACGAGCGCAGTAACGGGGGGGAATTTCCAGCCATTCCATCTCATCAGTCATTCCAGGATGGCCACCACAAAGTTTCCACAACATACGTTACATGATATGATGTTACAACATACGTTACATGATGGACGTGATACGTTACAACCCACTCTGGTGCCGGCTGCATCGCGGCGTAAACTAAAGGAACTCGTAAACCACCGTAACAAAGCTACCACCAAAACCGTCAAGCACGAGAAACGCTCCTGGCGACGGCCGTGTCCGGCTCGACGCACCTGTTCGTTCTCGCGCTCGGTGACGCTGCAGGTGGAGTAAACTACTCGTCGGACGGCCGGAAAGCTGAGGGCGTGGCGCAGCAGCATGCCCTGAAGATTTGCCAGCCGTTGGAGACGGTCCGCCGACACCGAGTCCGCCGACTCACGGCCTGCCATACCTGGGGACGGCAAGACGTCAGACTCTGGCCTGCCATACCTGGGGACGGCAAAACATCAGAGACTCTGGCCTGCCATACCTGGGGACGGCAAGACGCCAGAGACTCTGGCCTGCCATACCTGGGGACGGCAAGACGTCAGACACTCTGACCTGCCATACCTGGGGACGGCAAGACGTCAGAGTCTCTGGCCTGCCATACCTGGGGACGGCCAGACGTCAGAGACCCTGACCTGCCATGCCTGCGGACGGCAAAACGTCAGAGACTGGCCTGCCATACCTGGGGACGGCCAGACGTCAGAGACTCCCGTTCCGCGTTGATTGGAGGCAGGGAAAGGTCAAGGACTTTGGTCTGCCATGTCTGGAGATGGAGATGTCAGATACTCCCAGTCCGCACTGCCTGGAGACGGGGAAGTCAGGGACTCAGGGACTCCTGGCGCGCGCTGCCTGGAGACGGGAAAACAGAGACTCGCGGCCCAGTGGGCTTGTGAACATGAGGTGTCCGGTGGCCCTGCCGGGTCAATATCTTAAAGGGAATGTTCCACATCTGAAAATACTGAAGCAAGCATCAGATGGTATGAGATAAGCTCACTTAAAACTATTGGTATGCTTCCAGTGAAAAATATTACAATAGACAACACAATTTATCTATATAGTAAGTATGCCTCTTCATACCTCACTGTTTGATTGCGTCATTATACATTTCACAACACAGATTAGGAGCCAATGGAGTCTGTTTTATCTGGGAACGTAGTCACAAACGCCGGGTATGAACAAATTGACGAATATATTTGTCTTGACCTTGATCGCCACACGGCCAATGAATTGGCAGGATTTGAATGACGTAATTATGGCGTCATGGATGCCGAGTAACCTTGCCATAGTCTGCACGTAAACGTCTGCACAACTTCGCGGGCGTGTAACTCAGAAACTAGATGGACTAAGATCTGAAAAAGAGCAGGGCTGTGAACTCCGCCGAATGATCTTCCAGATGGCTATTTCGGTTCAAAGCCCCATACAACTGTGGACCACTGCCTTTAACAGTGTCCGATTCCGAGCAGGCAACCAATATCCTACCCAGACCTGTGCTGGAGCAGGAGGGTTCAGCAGCGAGGAATCGCCGGAGCAGGAGGCGTCCAGCAGCAAGAGATCATCTGTGCCGAAGCAGGAGGGGTCCAGGAGCGAGGGATCACCTGTGCTGGAGCAGGAGGGGTCCAGCACCGAGGGATCACCTAAACTGGAACAGGAGGTGCTCAGCAGCGAGGGATCACCTGTGCCAGAGCAGGATGGGTCCAGCAGTATGGCTGTCAGCTGCGGGTGGTCGGCCGGCTGCAGGCGGAGGAAGTCGCCGCAGATGAGCCGGCAGTTGGTGACGCCGGCTCGGCGCAGCATCCGGGACAGCGTCTGGAACCGGGCCTGGTCCCGCTCCACAGCCACCAGCGTCCTGCCGACCAGACGCGGTCGGACCGCAGACGGGGTCACATGGAGAGCGGGTCAAATGGCGAGCACGGTCAGATGGCCAAGGTCAGATGACTGGTGGGGTAGACAGACGGGGTCACATGGAGAGCGGGGTCAGATGGTGGGCAGGGTTAGATGGCGGAAAAGGTCAGATGACTGGTGGGGTAGACGGCAGACGGGGTCAGATGGCGGGCAAGGTCAAATGGCGGGCAAGATCAGATGGCGGGCGGGGTCGGCAGATACAACATCAGTTCGCATGGATCTCTGGCATTCTGTGGCGCAGATTTCGACTGTTCAACTTTCAGGCCGATCCTCCGAACGCATTGACAGTTACAGTCATGTAAACAATCTAGGTAGCATTACACTGGCGTACTGAGAGGTTCTCCCAAGAGGGATCAAATCGGGGCATATGGGGCCTTTCAGCCAAGGGCCCATTTCGTCGCTATAGAGGCCTTCCTTTATGCTTCGGGGACTCTCAGGCTTGGGATACCACTTTGATGCCTCGATGGCCCGTTTTGGTGTTTTGAAAATCTAAAGGGCGCCTTAAACAGCTGACATGTACTGAGGTTTTTGGCCCTTGGCTCCCCGCCCAGGCACGGAGGGGCGGGGGGGGGGGGGGGAGAGGAGGTATGCCCCCAAAAGCGTCCTTCGTTACGCCCATGTAACTGCCCATCGGTTCGAATTATCAATCTGGCATTTATACAGATGAAATATACCGCCAATGCTACACTGATCGCGTTCAATCTGATTACGTGACGCGTTATTGTAACAGTACTTCATGTTGCAATTTCTCTACCGGATCTGCAATCATTCGCTCTTGTTTGACGTTCCGAAATACTCGACCGGGAGGTTGCAACGCCTCACCTTGCAACACAACAGGTGTTTTTGGTGTGACCAAGACACTTATTCGTAAGTTCTGACCTCCTTACCCCACCGCACAACCCTGTTTTGAACGTCGCCCGACTCACCCTGTGTTCTGCATCATGGCCGCCAGCTGAGACGTCTTCATGCCGGGCGCGGCGCACGCGTCCAGGACCTGCTCGCCGGGGGAGGGCGCCAGCGCCAGCGGCGGCAGGCAGCTAGCCTGGCCGGCGCACGGACAGCACGGTCATGAGGGCGGCACGGAGCACACGCCGAGGTGGCAGGCAGCTGGCCTGGCCGGCGCACGGACAGCACGGTCACGACAGCGGCACGGAGCACACGCCGAGGTGGCAGACAGCTGGCCTGGCCGGCGCACGGACAGCACGGTCATGAGGGCGGCACGGAGCACACGCCGAGGTGGCAGGCAGCTCTGCACCGGGGTGCCGTCGCACACGCCGCTATGCGAAAGGGCTCGAGTCTTCCCCGCGTTGTAATAAAAACTGGATCATTAGTCACGCAATGGCGTAAATCTTACGGTCACCTCTGATGTCACGCGACGCACCAGTCTTTCGGTATTTTAAATTTCCTTTTTATTTTAGTACGTTTAGCATTTTTTATCCTCCTGTTGGCATATGAGGTACATAGCAAGACAACACACTAAATTAGCAGCCCCATAGCGCTGGCATCACCTCTGTTCTGTTGTCATTGGGGCTTTACGACACACTCAGCTGCTGAGGCTATATAGCGTCGCCTGCCTTTCACCCTGGCAGGAAGGGCGGACATCCCTGTTCTCCGCTGGTGGAGTCCAGGTGAGTGGTCCAGCGCGGCCTCCGCGCGCGGCCAGCCGGCCGTCGGTGTCTCACCTTGTCCTGCAGAATGAGACAGCCGCTGCGGTATAGCTGGTGCTCGTGCAGCTCCGTGCCAGCGGCGAACACCAGCAGGGCGGGCACGTGCAGATCCAGCAAGAACTGAGACGGTCCCAGCGCCTGCCGGCGCAGCGGTCGCCGTGACGACACGGTCATGCAAGGAGCGTCACATGACCAGGGCATGCCACACCCAGCGGCGCGGCGCAATGTCCACACGGGCTTGTGGTCCTCGCTAGCCCATGCTACCCTGCAGTCTAGGCGATCTGCAGATTCAGTCGTGAAGCAATTTTCTACCTGACCATCCTACCCGGCTTGGTCTCAGCAATGCTTACGCGCTTCGCTGACGACGCGGTATTGCGCGTCGAGCGCCCTTATACGGGATATATAAGTCTCTGGTTGCGCACCTGTAGAATTTACCGACTTCTGCTCGGAAGCCTCTGTGTCAAAGTAAAGGATTCATTCAGCCATGAGCAGAGCAGCCACTCGTTGCCATGACAATAGACCTAGCAGCCCGCCCCTGACGCACCTTGACAAGAGCTATGAACTCCTCGTAGCGGACGTCGGCCGGGTACTCGACCCGCTCCCAGCCCTCCGCCGTCAGCTGGCGCGTGACGTCATCCAGGGAAGCGAGGAGCGTGTTGACCCGCGCGTACCGGGGCGCTGTCGGGGTACGGACGGTCATCCACCGCCAGCGCGCGAGGCACGACAGACACGTGGCAGACACCAACGACAGGCACAACCCCTGCCGGCGACTGGTTAACAGTCGCTGCTGATCGAGGATCACGGCAGGGGAAATCATCGCGTAATTCAGCTGGAAGTTGCTAGGTGAATTCAGCACGAGCTGCTGCAGTGGCAAATTCGTTACAGTCGCCATCTGTTGCGTGATGTAACACAGACGCACTGGACATTAAAATGTCCAAGCTGAGCGAAGAGTGATCACTTCATGTTTATCCAGCACCAGCTCTACAACAGGGGCGAGCGACCCATGACTGTAACAGCGTTGGACGCACCCCTGTACCGATTCCACTTGATGTGAGCGCTATTAAGAACACAGCGTATCGATCAGTCCTCGTGTCTTCCATTATTGGCCTGGTGTGCCCCAACTAAGGACCCGCCCTTCCAGGTCCAATAGAGGGGGCGCCGACGGTCGAGTAATGAGACGCCGTATCGAGCCAGCTGTGGCGGTACGGTGTAAGGTACTCGGCTCGTGGTTTTGCCACGTCACTGGCGATACCACAGTGAAATCACAGAACTCTCCAATGGCACACAGGCAACGTGGCACCGCCCATTCAAACGCAGAGGAGGGCATGGACGACGGTGTCTTCCTTTCTTTGGTGATCTCACTGACCCATAGAACGCCCACATTGCAATCTGTCCAATATATTGCCTTGCCGTTCTCAGATACCAACATTCCAATTCGCACATAAGTCTTTGCTTTTACTGCCTAAAAGTCGTCCATCGTTCATGAACAAACCTGCCCAGTTTCGTATCTGATCTTCCCGGCGCATACAAAGTTCCATATTCCTACAAACGCATGACGAAAAAATCTAGTGACGGTCCGCGTAAAGACCTACACAAGACAACAACTGACTTCGTGCAAGTACACAATTCGTGTTCAGCAGCCTGAGGACTGAAACGGTCTTGTAATACCTGGCATAAATGCTAAATCAGAAACAAATCACAACATGCGGACCTGGAATGTAGCCCAAAACAAGGCAGTGAATATTGTATTAATGTGCACCCTGACACGTTCGATCAGACCCGGATAACCCCGCGTAAATTTTCTGCTTCATGACGGCCGACCTCCGGACCGGCAAGGCCTGTGATCACGTGGTTTCACGACAACCGACTCTGTCGTCACAACGAACGAGCAGCCACGAGGACAAGCAGAACGGAGCAAGGCCACGCGCCAGAGCCTGGTCCACGTCACCACAGTCGGCATCGTCCCACTGGCGACTCGATTCCGTTGTCCACGCCCGTGTCCGCCGGTCGGTCACCGACGCACCTCCGTTACTGTGAGGTCGACACTGACCCTCCCGCACTGTCCGCTTCCGTCACGGTCAGCCGCCCCCAGCGCCGCCCGGGCCTCTCACGCCGCGGCACTGCCCACGGCACCGCCGGCGCTCACTGCTGCTTCTGCCGGCTGGCCAGCTCCTGGCGGCTGATCTGCCGTGGCGCCGAGGCGATCTCGGCGTCCCGCACCTCCTTGTACGCGCCCCACACGAACATGGCGATGAGCGCGTGCACGGTGAGCACTGCCGCCGCCGTGCCCCACAGGTAGCCGTGCTCGGCGTAACCCAGCCGATCCTCGGCCACGTGCACGGCGCCGTAGAACGCCACGAACGGCAGCGTGAACATGGCCACGCTGTAAACGAACAGGTTGAGCAGCACGTTGGTGCGCGTCGTGCGTCGCTCGATGGACGAGTGCATGAACCGCTCCTCCGGCAGACTCATGGCGGCGGCGGCGGCGGCTGACGCGGCGGCGGCGGTCACACCTGCAACCAGGCCGGAGTCAGCGGCCGGGCGCGGCGGCGGTACTCACGCGGCGGCGGGCGGGCGACGACGGCGGCGGCGGCCGGCGCGACGGCCGCGGCGCGCAGTCGGTCGGCGTAGCGCAGCACGGTGAGCACGGGCCGCGCGCGCGAGCCCAGCCGGCCGGCGCCGAACAGCAGCTCGGCGGCCAGCAGGCGGGCCGTGCTCGGCTCCAGGCCGGGCTCGGCGGCGAGCAGGCCGACCGCCGCCAGCGCCGCCTCCACGGCCGGCGCGTGCTCGACGGCGCGCGACACGAGTGCCAGCAGGCGCCGGTACAGCTGAGCGGCGGCATATGTTACCAGGGCGGCGTCAGCGAACGACGCCGGCTCGGCACAGCACGGCTCCGCCGGACGTGCGGACGCATGTCGCTGACACTCGCCAATGCAAATGCACCATTTTCTATAGCATGTCTTTCAAATGAAATATTTAAAACCAACTATAAAAAGGGGCCGCCCATACATCACGTTACGATCCTTTACCCCCCCCCCCCCCCAATCTCCCACCCCAGGTATCCACCCCGATAGCACACTGGTAAAGCCGGCCAAAAGATCCCTCTTTCCCGGTTACAATACTGCAAATATTTCAGCACGAATTACAACCACGCAGGGGAAGAACGTTGCGCTGTCCGAAACCACCTTCTCTTCGTTTGCGCTCCATCAAAACCCCTCACCGTCTATGCGTAATACAATCTATGAACGGCGCCAGAAGAAGCATATAACTCGTTTTATAAACCATCCTGTGATGGAGACAAGCTGCGGGCGATTGATGAGCAATGGAAGATCCGAAGGGGCTCAACAGCAGGGCCTAGTGCTGGATCATGCGACTTACTCGCTGTTGACGTGTGGCGTACACCAGAGTCTTCAGGCTCCCCTTCTTTTCTGAATACGCTTTGAGGATCTTCGCCCCTTCTTTGTACAGATATGGGAGCTTGACAGAGTGCTGGTATTTCGATTGTTCTGCTGTTTCAGCTGGCACGTCCATCAGGTATTCATTAAAAGTGCTAGCAATCCTCAATACGCTGACTTCAACCACCGCTCTGAAAAAATAGTCCTGGGGTCCAGACGAGAAGAGCATCGTCATCCAGGTTGGATAAGTTGCAGCAAACATTATGAACAGGGATTTCTGGAAGATAGAAAAAAAACATTTTCAAGCGTATCAATAATTGTCACCAGTATTATGGTGAGTGTGACCAGTATTGAGCAACTGCAGATGTCCGGGAGCATCCTGCAAGTTAGTTCAGTTCAGTTCAGTTTATTGCGGTTACATCCTGGAATACTTCCAGACTTTTCATAAACCACGTCAAGATTAAAGACAAAAATAAACGGTAGGCAAGGAAGAACAAGCTCACAAGTTTCACAATTCAAACAACAAAAAATTCACAGACCAGCGCAGCAGCCTACGCTCAGCTCAGCTGGTCACCTCGCAGCATACGGTGCATCACATCTGCATTGTAGCGAGGCACGTGCCTGGTGTTTTGCATACAGGATAACAGACGGTTAAACAATTTTGCAGCACCGTGGCTAAGCCCACGCTTCCCGGCGTTCGTCCCGGCCCGCGTCACTTTACGTTGTCCTGTCTGTCGAGTGCTGTAGTTGTTCTGGGCGGCCTGGTATAATCCCCGCAAGTTTGTCGGTTGTCCTGTGTGGAGCACGGATTTCGTAAGAGCTAGTCAGTGATATTTTAGTAGATTTTGAGCGGACAAAACGCCTAAACCTGATAGGCTCCGGTTGTGTTTGGCAATGACTCGTCGAAGGTTTCACTTCCGTCCCCAAAGCTATTCTCACCTGTTGATTGTATCTCTGAAACTAGTTATCTAGCCAATAGCTGTCTTCGCCGTACATACTTGATGTCTATATATATATATATATATATATATATATATATATATATATATATATGTATATATATATATATGTCTATATATGTCTATATATCTATATGTCTATATGTCTATATATATATATATATATATATATAAGATATGTATATGATAAAGAAGCGATATGTCGCTGACATCAAACTTACGTCGGTAGCAGTTTTGCTGCGATGCAGCGATGGCAAACACAACTTATCTTCGTAACAGCCGGATGACATGGGAATTCATACGTTGATTTGTCGCGGAGAAGTTTTAACGGCGAACTTTATTGCCTGTAGATGTAATGCTGCGTGACAAGAAATGCAATGTTGCGTGCCAGTAGATAGAATGTCGCGTGACTGTACATGCAACGTTGCATCCATAGCGGTCATGTGTTGAAGCAGCGACGCTCCTACGTAGTTCTGTATGAAGAAGTTTCTTCGTGCGATATTTTATCCGCCGAAGATGCATAATGCAGTAATTTTCACAGTGAAGCTTGAGTGAGCCGAAGTGACGTGTAAACATTTTTGTCCGTAGCTATTTTGTCTAGCATGTGTAACAACACTTAAAAGTTTTGTCCGTTGAAGCTTAGTGGAAAGTGTAGAAAATATGTGAAAAGGTGCAGAAATCGTGTCGCGGCAAGCATGTGGCTCACACTTCAGTACAAGCAGTCGTGTACTGACATGCTCTCCACCCACGCCTGTTCAGCTCCCCTTCATGCTTGCTCACCTCCCCTTCCCCAATAGTCTGCGAAAGACCAGTCTTACTTCGCCATCTATCACATCTTACGTATTCAATGGCAATAAACATCATCTACGTACGGAAAGTTCCTCAGTTGGCATGCGTTGAGCTAGGGGTATAGTTTCCCAGTCATTTGAAGAGCTCCAGCCCCCCCCCCCCCTCCCCAATCAACTTTGAGAAGAGAGTCAATTCCGGGAATAGAATTGCTTGTTGTCGCGCTCTGGGCATGCTGCATTTTTTCCGAGCTCAGGCCCCATCCAACTCATTTCGAGATGTGACGCCCCTACGATACACCATATGAGATTATGGTGTCCAAACAGTCCCAGGGCATCTCCTCTTAGCATGATCATGGTTTTGCCACTGAAATAGCCTCAATGATGTTGAAAAGGTTAGAGATAACTTCATATTTTTTATCAAAAGCCTGTATGCTTACGACGCATTCAGTCAAGCTGCATGACGTGTTTAAAACGGAAGTTCTAAAGTCCAAAACGTTCTGTTTTTGGACATAAGCATAGATATTGACATGGACTAAAAAAGCATCTACTGGATCAGCAGCATCAACAATACGTGTTCTCTTCGAGGTGTCGTTACGAACGAGGCTGCGGTCCATCTCGTAACGCCAAACATCCGGAAACGGTGTAATCTTAGCGGCCCATCTCGACCCGCTGGCGTGCCTTTCACGGGCTTATAAGCTTAGTCACTAATCATTCCGCCAGCAGGTCTTCAGAAAATATGCCACCATCCTTAAAAAGTTGTGCTGTAGTATTCTGAGGGTACTTGCATGCAGTCAGTTTGATTAGGCGCGAAATACCCGCAACACCGCAATATCAGCGAGGCTCTTCTTCCCTATTCGATTTACGTGGGACGCGACACATTGAGGAAGACCCGCCCAATATGGCTCAGTCAGGTCAAGATATTAGCATCCTAAGCTTGCAGCAAAACCAAAACCATTTAAGTGTGCAGACAGAATCCTCCAGCGGATCATAACAGTCAGAGCATACGCCAAGTCTGGTGGCTTTCAAGTTTGGGACTGCGAAGTCAAACACAAAGCCATCGCCAAAGCCAGTGGCTTGGAAACTTGTAGATGCGACGCCCAAGCCGAAGTCAGGGGCTTTGAGCTTTGGAAAAGGGAAGTTAAAGCTAAGCTTATCAGTCATTTTATCATAAAACTAGGAGGTTAAAGAAGCTGTAGTCAGTGCTAGTGTAAAATGTTGTTTCATGACAACAAAACCATTTTTGGCATGAACAAAACCACCACTAAGACATCTGCTACAGCTTTATGGGATAAGAGTACCACCTGGGTTTGCAGAGCAATCAATGTAAGGTGTTAAGAAAGGTGGAATGTTTTTTGCTTTACAATTGCCTTGTGTTGTGTTATTATACACCTATGACTTGCACCAATTGGTTCACCAGCCATCATTAGGTGTCAACTGCCCCTAGAAATGACCAGGTGCTATTGAGCTCTCAGTGATGCATGTGTCATGACCTTGAAACCTTGTGAGGTATGTTGGAGTGACCCAGCTTGCAAGGCCATTTTGTCAGGCACAGTCACTACTGCAGTGAAAAACCATCATGACAAAGCTAAAGCCAGGATTTCAAGATCACAAGAAACTGAGGCAGAGATAGCAATTCAGAATGCAGTCAGCTGTTAATACAACCCAAACCAAAGTCTAAGCCAGCTGTCTGAAATAACAACAAATGCAAGCCAGAGCCAGGCATGAAAAGTGTTCTGCAGTTGGATCTGAATTTAAAGCTTTTGGAGGAGAACTTAGGCTTTCTGAGAAAGACAAACTAGCTGCCCAAAATATCTGCTGTCAGTACCACCAGATCAAGGAGCAAATAATTACCACATGTTAGGAAAATTCCACAAAAAGCAGCTGTAGATCCACTGGGTTATGGAGATATTTTAACTTAATAATATTAGAAAGAACCACCAATGAAGATTACATGGAACCAACTATATATTTCAGGTATGACCATGACTAACAGCAGTCTCAAAATCACACTATGTGAGCTTAACAATGAATTTTGCATCATGTCCTAAAGCTGTGAATGAATGAATTTCTGGTATCAGACCTCATGCTGAACAGGGTCTGTTGTGTGTACACTGAGTCTACTAGCCAAATATGATGTCCAGTTTCACACTGGAATTTGGCAGCAAAGTTTAGCCTACTGCAATGCTAGGCATTGTCCATCCAGCCCATAGATCTCAAGACCTTGAGCCACTGGCCTTAGGACATCCCAGTCAGGTACAGAGCAATCACAAATGTCATGAAGGGTTATAATTTGGATGATACATCTTCCCTGCCAGCCATATGATCACTTTGACTACAATGACGAGCAGTCAGCACACCCTGCAGTGGATTATTAAGTGACAAATTAACCAACAAAATTCCTTAATCCCGAAAAACTGGATCTCGAATGACTAACTCATACTGCTATCCTCCAATGGTGACCCACTTCGCTCCTTCAACGAGCCAGTACTCAGGGTGACTCTTCAATAAATTCACGCGCCACGACACCAAACCTCTTCGCGTGTTGCGTTTGTATACCTCCAATAATTCTACTCCTCGCTTTACCCATAAAGCGCGAAACGCATGCCTCAGGAACTCACCACCAGTCCACATAAAAATGCGGCAATGAAAAGACAGCGTCCACCAAAAACCTAGCGGCCTCACGAATGCACGTGATGCGTCACAATCGGTATCAAAATGGTAGCGCATAAAATGGTAGCCGCGGATAATTTTGCTTTACTGCTTTATTATTCCTTCCCATGTCGATGAAATGTTGACGCCGTGCCGCTTACCTTTGGCTTCCATTAGAATGGACATGCACGGTCAAATAGAACCAGCTCAAATGACGGTTGTGTACAGGAGCATGCAGAAAATTAAGCTCCGGGCGTTCATCATGATGCGGACTCGTTCACCTACTGATCACCACCTGCCAAATGCTTACAGCTTTTTCCTATTGATTCAACAGTCGAGATTGGGAGCGACAGCCTTTATTCAGTACGGGCAGAGAAAATCGGCAAGTCAACATGATGATGGAGATTCTGAGGGCGGCTCCAATGGATGTACGTAGGGTAAGGGGGCTCGAAAACCAATTTTTCAAACAATTTGGAAGCTGGCCAGCCAAGACACGTGTTTAACGAAAAAAACCCTCAAAATATCGAGCTCACTGCGGCAAGTGTCCGCCGCACTGCCAACTCGACAGCAAGAACATATTCCGGGACAAATACCACTCTGTTAAAAGCAATTAGATTAGCAGTTTTCGGCGACACTCGCCATCGTTGAATGTTCCCAGAGATCCTCAGTTAAATAGCATTAGCGCACCAGAATACCACCGAATCGCCAAATGTTGGGATACGAGAGCTGGTGTAAAATTTCGTTTGCCTTGCGACAGCTAGCGTAAAAAGTTCAGCGTCTATCACATAGCACAACATATATTTATGCGCAACATTGTAATCATCAGGCTTAGCATTTGCTACGCGTGGAATCTAATGGGCTCGGCATTTTCCGACCGCGAGACTTTAAACACAGGAGCTCAAAGAAACATGTGCTCATGTTCGTGCAAGCTATCTGCACTTTCCCGATCATGCTCCTAGCGCTCACGAATGAAAGACAGGCGGCATACGTGCAAAACCGAGTACTGTATATTTGGCACTTGTACGAGCGGGCTTCCATGGTGCTCTCATAGCGGAGAACATCTGAGTACAACTCCTTTTATAGCACAGCCAACTTCCGGCAAAGAGGGTGCACATCTCGATGCATAAACAGGATCTGTCTCACGGCCAGGTCACGAGGAAAGGCTGTACTTCGATGACCCCTGGCGCGTGGGACAACTGGAAGGCACAGGCTACTGACATACGTTCCCGTCGTACGCCAAAGGCATCTCCGCGAGGAAGAACACGACAATGACAGCGTGATAGGCATTCCACATTTTGAACCTTCGATGCATAAAGCCGATTACACATCCATGTATCCGCTTGTCATGATCTATAGTAGATAGGCCAAATGGTACGTGCACTTGGCTGATACGATTGCTCGTGCCCCGCGATGGTGAATCGAGCGACAGCTTCAGGCATTTCGAGTATTGAGAAACACAGGCTCGTGCTCAAAGGTGCCCAGCGAGTACAAAAATGGCGTGGCATATGACCCTCCATCATGATCTCAGGTTACGGAACCAGGCAAATTTACAGCTGTCTTAAAACGTCGCAGTGAACAGCATAACCATATTATGAGTAATGGCAGCACAGTCATACTGCAAAGCGGGCAACAAGCTATTGAATATTGAGCACCTCGGACATTCCCTGGGTTTCAACAGCCATATTGAGGCTTGACCTAGCATAAATGGCGCACAGATACGTCTATAACTTGCCTTAAAGGAAAGCAAGGTGTATACCCGAGAGTACAATATCCAAGCAGCGACCATTTATACGGACTGGCCAGAAACTTATAAGCTCCTTGTGGCTGCGATACCACTGTCCACACTTCCAAACCGGCCGCACGCTGGTAGCGTCGCTGATCAACGGTCACCAAGGTGACCAACCGTCCGGTCGTCGTCCGGTTGGGCTCCAGTGACGTCACTAGTCAGCGGTCAAGAGGTGGCCAGATGTCCGGTCGTCGTCCGGCTGGACTCCAGTGACGTCACTGGCCCACGGTCAAGAGGTGACCCGCCGCCCAGTCGTCGTCCGGCTGGGCTCCAGTGACGTCACTGGCCCACGGTCAAGAGGTGACCTGCCGTCCAGTCGTCGTCCGGCTGGGCTCCAGTGACGTCACCGGCCCACGGTCAAGAGGTGACCAGATGTCCGGCCGTCGTCCGGTTGGGCTCCAGTGACGTCACCAGTCAGCGGTCGCGAGGTGACTCGCCGCCCAGTCGTCGTCCGGCTGGGCTCCAGTGACGTCACCAGTCAGCGGTCGCGAGGTGACTCGCCGCCCAGTCGTCGTCCGGTTGGGCTCCAGTGACGTCACCAGTCAGCGGTCGCGAGGTGACTCGCCGCCCAGTCGTCGTCCGGCTGGGCTCCAGTGACGTCACTGCCGGCTCTCGCGTAGCCAGGCGGTGATGAGGCGGCCCACTCTGCGCCGGGCCGCCGTCAGCTCGGCCAGGTCCGAGGCGCGCGCCGGGTACATGTTGGCGCAGTGGGCCGTGCCTGCGGGCCACGGAGGCAGCGTCAGTAGCCCACGTGCGGCTGGTGGACGGCTGAGGCGGACAGCCGCACAGCCACGTCCGTCGGTCGGCGAGGCGGACGTGCGGTGTGCGGTGTGCGATGTGCGATGTGCGGCGTGATGTACGGGGTGGCAGACCAGTGTCTGGCCGCGCAGGGGTGACTGATCGGCAGGGACAGCCAGGCGGACTACACGATGCCGACACCGCTAGGAAGTCCTGCATGATGTCTATCGGCCCCGCCGGCAGGCACACTCTCTGCTACACTGAGGCTGGCGCCGGCGCGGTGCGGCTGTGATGTGACATGCACAAGAGGAAGCAATGACAGCCTTCCACCTGTCAACGCCATCCACACAAACAAAACATTACTGATCACCAGGACACGTGTACGGCGACACCCGAATGCCTCGCAGACTGCAGACATCAGCCGCCGGCAGTCACCACCGCCCCTCTCAGCGCTTGCCGGCGTGCTGAGACGGCGCCCGGCGCGCGCGCCACTGACCGTTGATGTAGATGACGGGCGTGTGCCGGTGGCGGGTGGCCGTCCGCCCCATGGCGTGCCAAGGATCGATGCTGCCGTTGATGAACACCACGCGCCGCACGCGCAGCCCGCGGCCGCCGTAGCGCACGTTCGTCGCCGCCACAGCCGCCTCGATGAACGCCTTGTTGAACCTGGCAGCAGTGGAGGGCTCGATGTGTGTGTGGCGGCGGGAGGGGCAGCCATCCCCCGGCGTCTCTGGGCTCGCCGGGGAAATGGTGGGGAACACTGAAGGCGGCACACTGCTGGGAGCACTGGCGGGCAGCCCGTCGGCCCCAACGTCGGGAATGGGAGGGGTCAACGTGACGTCACTTTGCTGATAGGGAAACCACGGAGTGCGACAGAAACTAATAATTACTCTATATTGTATATAAATAAATAAATAAATATATATACATATATATACAATATAATATATATATATATATAATATTGCATATATATATATATATATATATATATATATATACAATATACATATAACTCAAACTCGAATTGAGGAGAGGTCGTGTGGACAGTACTCCTGCCTTCGACATCGTAGAGCCTCGGTGCTCTCAAAACCAGGGTGACGCATCCCACTCACAAACGGGCTGGTTGCAACGACACCCAATGCCCGGACCCCTGCCGGAGCGGGGAGCAGGGAGCGGCCGAGCGACGGACGGGGCCGCAGCAGCGTGGGCCAGCGGCTCGTGCTGCGCGGGAGACACGTCCCCGGCCAGACGACCGAGCCACCGGCGGTACCGAGCTCGGCTACGCCAGCACCGGGGGCGGGCCCACACTGCTTCCTCAGGAGACCGGTGCCAGCGAGGCGAGACATCAGCTGTCCCGACGACCGGCCGAGCGGCGGTGCACCGTCAGCCCGGCCTCCACGGTCCAAAGGGTCACATGCTACCTGGTTCCAGAGCAGATGACTCTGTGCGACCGCCGAGTGGTCTGGCGGGTTCGCTGCGCCACGGCTGCCGCGGAACGGCGACGCTCTGTCAGCGGCCACCACATGGAAGCCAAAAACAATGGGCAAGGGACACGACACGCTGGGCGAGGGGGCGGAACAAGGGACAAGGAACAAGGGACACGGAACATAGGACGAGGGGGCGGGACAAGGGACAAGGGTCAAGAGACACGGGGCATAGGACGAAGGACGGGACAAGGGACAGGGGACAAGGGACATGGGACGAGGGGGCGGGACAACGGACAAGGGTCAAGAGACACGGGGCACAGGACGAGGGGCGGGACAAGAGACAAGGGTCAAGGGACAAGGGACACGGGACACAGGACACTGGAAAAAGAGGCGGGACAAGTGACACGGGACAAGTGCCCGCAGCGCCGCGGGGGCGGACATTCGCTCACTTGGGGCCGTAGGCGTCCACACACTGCTGCACGGAGAAGGCGAGCGGAAAGCGGTGGCCGAACGGCTGCCGGACGAAGTCGGACGTCTGGTACCAGCCAAACTCTGAACACGTCTGGTAGATCCACTGGCGCACTGCCGGCGACACGGTCAGCTTGGCTCGCGCCGGACAACGCTCGGCGCCGGCCTGTCCGCGCCGGGGCCAGGGGTGCTTCACACAGAGAAGCCGTGCTGTACGTGACCCACTTCCCGATAACGCGGTCAGACATCGCAGCTTCGCTGGGGTAAAGGACACAACACCAAGGGGCAAGGAAAACAGTGACGGGTAGAGAAAAAACATTGCCCACGATTAGGAAGCAGACACCAGACTTCAAGTAGCACTGATGGCTGCACACGGGGCGCTAAGCAAGACAGAACACACGGTGGGCCATGTGTGGACTGGCTGGTGGCTAAGCAGGCTGAGCCGGCCCTGACCCGTGTCACAGGATGAGCCGGTCCTGACTCGTGTCACAGGATGAGCTGGTCCTGACTCGTGTCACGGGCTGAGCCGGCCCTGGCTCGTGTCACAGGCTGAGCCGGCCCTGGCTCGTGTCACAGGATGAGCCGGTCCTGACTCGTATTACAGGCTATACCGACCCTGACTCGTGTCACAGGTTGAGCCGGCCCGGACTCGTATTACAGGCTATACCGACCCTGACTCGTGCCACAGAATGAGCCGATCCTGACTCGTGCCATAGGCTGAGCCACCCCAGGCACTTACTGCCGTTGTTGTCGGGGCTGTCGAAGCTCTCCTCTCGCATCTTCTTCATGGCCGACTCGTAGGTGTAGTCCAGGCACTTGTCACCATGGGCTGTCATCAGCAGGCTGTTGACCTCGGCCAGCCGGTCCAGCGCGCCGCCCCGCCCGCTGGTCATGATCTGAGAGGCAGACCCCACCCCCTGGTCATGATCTGGAGAGGCATACCCTGCCCGCTGGCCATGGTCTGGAGAGGCAGACCCCACCTGCAGGTCATGATCTGGAGAGGAGACCCCGCCCACTGATTATGACCTGGACAGGCAGACCCTGCCTGCTGGTCATGACCTGGAGAGGGAGATTCCGCCCACTGGTCATGATCTGGAGAGGCATACCCTGCCTGCTGGCCATGGTCTAAAACAGGCCCCACTCACTGGGCATGGTCTGGAGAGGCAGACCCCACCCATTGGTCACGATCTGAGACGGACCCTGTCCATGGGTCATGGTCTGAGACAGACCCCGCCCACTGGTTATGATCTGAGAGAGCTGCCCAGGGGTCATGGTCTGAGACAGACCACATCCACAGGCCATCCAAAACAGACCTTGTCCGCCCACTGGTCTCTTCTTGCCTCGTCTCGTAAGAGGCATCTCAAGTAGCTTGCTGTGCTCGTGATCATCACGCCCTCGTCGCACCCAAGCAGCTGGCGGCCTGGTTCAGGCCAACTCACGTCGCAGAGCGTGGTGACGGTGATGTTGGCGTCCTTGGCGCCCTCGAAGGCGCGGTTGTCCTTGTTGTACTGGACGGTGCCCTCGAAGAGGTCGGCCAGGCTGGAGACCAGACTGGATACGTCCTCCGGCGCCGAGACGTTCAGCGGCGCACACAGTCTGCGGCGCAGCGACAGCCAGAGCTC